GATCACAGGAGTATTTGCTGCTTTTTTGCTGTGTCAGTCAGGCTGTAAGGCAAAGAAGACGAGCACAGACGTGTGGCTGTAGCATTACCGTGCACTTGGATGTGCTACCGTGGAGCTGGGTTAGCAGTGAGCCGCGAGAAGTAGACACACGAGAAAAAAGCACGTCCACGGTGATGCCTCATCAGTAACGTATCCAGCTCTTCAGGCTAGCTGCAGAGGTCCTTTGGGTGAGGGCGATGGGAGGGATGGGACAGGACACCATAGGTTGAGTGTCGTTGTCTTCCTGAGAGTGAAGGACACATGTGTGCTGTGACTGTCACCTCCCCGTCTGGCAGCTCTCTGCAACCTGGCACTTGGTTGCACGTTTTAATTCCTCTTTGTACTAGGATGAGTGCAGGAGCTCAGCTGTTCCCTCTCTGTGGGTGCTGAGGGGAGCATGGGGCTGCTGTGGCTGCAACTGGGCAGTGGGGAGGGACGTCGGGGTGGGAGCAGCATGGCACGGCGAGGCAAGCTGCACAGGAGGGGTAGAGCAGGCATCTTTATTCTGATCGAGTTCTTGCTGAACCCTAAGTGATGCTGTGCAACCCCTGGGCATTGCTGAGCTGTGGCCTTGCTGTGGGATCCTCCTTCCTGCAAGCTGGTGTATAGTCCTGCTTCCTCAACCAGCAGACCTCGGGTATGAAAACACTGCTGAAATTCATGGATGTCATACTTTGCTGCTTACCCTTCCTGGTCTTGAATCAGCACTATTATATCTGGAATTTGTTTGCAGCTCTAATATCATGGTAATGGGGGGGGATGGATGGTTATCATTTGTAGACATGCAATTAGACTAGGTGTCAAGGCAAAAATGAAGCATGTGACAAACTGAATCCAAGCACTAAATCTCCTTCTTCCCCACGAAGCACGGCTCGGCAGTGGTGCAGTGACGTACAACTGCCTGCCCAGAGGAAGGTATGCCAAACGCTCGTGTTTCACTTATTAAATCACCATCATTAACCACGATGCTGCCTGTTGTACAAACAACTCAGAACACAATTCACAGATTACCTGAAGCAGGAACCTCTCTGCAAACTATCTTTTTTTTTATGTAATTGTGTCATGGGCAGCAGGTGGGGCAGCGGTGACTCTCGGTCGCACAGCAGTGGCACATCTGGATCACTTCTGGGTACTGATTTGGGGAGGAGGGATGCTGGGCTCTGCAGGGGTGGATGCACTGTGAGGGCTGGTGCTGGGCAGGAGGCACAGTTTCTCTCCATAGCCCTGTGGTCTTAGCTTAACCTAAATTGATGATGAAGCATTGGGATTAAAAATGACAGTTTTTGATATTTAGCTCTAAAAAAGTGGCTTTGTGAGTAACTCATTGTAATACCCGCGCTGCTGATCCTGCTGCCTTTAAGACGGCATCCCTGCACTGTCACTGCCGTGCTCTGTTACCTTCGTAAGTCAGTTGAGGTTAGATTTTAACATTGGTAGCTGTAGGAAAAAGTTGATTCAGGTTGGTTTTTTGTTTGTTTTAATTCGGATGGCAGGCCTACAAAGGGAATGTTTTGTGACAGGGATGGTGACTCTACTTGCCTTCCTGTACACAAATCCCCTTTCTTTATTTTAAGCCATTAAAGGAAACCCTAGTAGGGATAGCTCTGTGAGCTGGAACAGCAAGGATGCGACAGTGACTGCTTGTATTGCTTTCCAAGCAGGGTAGCAATGGTGGTGGAAGAGCAGAGATTATGGAGGAGTGGGGGAAATGAGCAATTTTTAACACCAATTCTAGCTTCATTGATAAAGATCTGATTTAATGTAAAGTAAACTTGCACTGTGGTGATACTGGACAGAGCTGTGGTATTGTACTGCAAAATGACTGATATGGTCAACATGACCCTGTTACATCTTCTGAATCTGTTAGCTGCTTACGGACTGCAGAACTTGTGGTTCCCTTGGCAGAGTTTTGTGCTGAATATCTAAAAATCCTATTAGCAATCTGAATATTCAGGCTTCGCTATTGTGAGTCCTCCTAATCCCATGGATAAGAGAAGCTGATAGCTGGGATGTGTTGTGCTGCTGGGTCCTTAGTTGGCTTCTCAGTGAAAGTAGACTGAAAACAAGGACCAGTTTTTTAATAGGAAGGTTACCTGGTTACTGGAACAAGTTACCTGGAGGTGGTAAACTGTTACTTGGAACCTTTAAGACACTATTACTTGAGAGAGACAGACAGACTAGCTCGAACAGGACTTGTTGAGCTGTAGGGTGGCACCAATGGGTAAAATTCATGGGGTGTGCAGGAGCCTGGACAAAGTGACTGCTCTGGTCAAGGATGATCTCCAATGTTTTTATGTGCTCCGGAGGGTTCGTGCAACCACAGTCTGTATGGCTCTTCGCGTGCTCCAGCGACTGTTGTCCCACTAGCTGCCTCCACTTGTACCTAACGGGGTGTAATTGGTCCCTCAGGTAATGTTTTATGTTTCATTTTCTGCAAGAAAAGTTTAAGAAACTTCAGATGGGTGAAACTTTACATACTTGTCTCCGAGCTAGGGCCTTGGTTAGAATTGGCTGTGATGATTGAAGATGTTAATGACAACAGGGTCTCCGTAGTCACAGAGATGCAGGCATCCATTGTCTTTGTCCTGTTGCTGCACCAGCCCTAACGAAGGACCTGGGTTAGTAGCTGTATGTGCTAAACTGTTAAATTACCGCAGCTAAATTAGCAAGGCATTTCATGTTGCAACCTTCAGAAGGAAATTCTGTTAATACTTTTGATGAGTTTCTGTATCAAAATCTCTGAATGCCAACAAGGTGGAAGTAAACTGGAGCTGCCTTGCTAAAATCCAATGGGTTTAGATTATAGAGCTCTTTCTGTGCTAATACATGGTGTAGCTTAATAGGAATGGATCAACAGTATGAAATCGGTGCTGCTTAGACTCTAATGTGTGCATTGCATGCTTTTCAGGGCATTTTACGTAGGACTGGCTGCGGTCTGGTCTCATGAACTGAAATGTCCTTTAGTGGAAGCCATCTCTTGCTTTTCCTCTCATCCGAAAGGCATCTGTTCCTTGTGCACCGAGACTGTTCTGGGCTGTGAAGCCAGGGACAGCAAAGTGGAAGCGATGGGTGGACTCGCTTCAAAAGCGTGCTCCTGCTTCGTATTAAAATGGTAATGTAGGGGCACCAGGGAGACGTAAAATGGCGCTTCTTGGAACAGCTGAATGTTTGGCTTTCTACATAATAGATGAGTACTTATCTTAGATCCAAAGATATTCCTGGAAAAAAACTCCCGTGTGTACGGGGAGGTGCCATGGGTTCAGTAAAATGGTCACGTTGCAATAGGTAAACTGGCATGAAAGCATTAGAAAGAGCAAGCAGCTGCAATTGCAGGTTTATGTCTCCGAGCGGGCTTTTAGTTTGTGCGGTGCCAGTTGGCAGGTTGCAGATTTTCGGGTGAATTGCCCATTGCCCACCGCGGGGTACAGGCGGCACCCACCGCCACCAGCGCACCTGGAGCTGCGGCTTGGGACGCAGTGACCGCATTCAGTGCAAGCTGAATAGGGACTTTCTAGCCTAATTGCGTTTCGGTTTTCATATCCACCAAGTGTGGGGACAGCAAACTGTTCAAAGCATACCTAACATTAATCTTCACTTTATTTAGAGACTTCAGCTTTGATTTTGGAATGTGGAGTGAAGAACAGGCCAACGCCATGTCTGCCGAAGGCTGTGGCATAGTCAGAACAAGCTCCTGGTTTTAATTTCAGTTGCTTTTCAGTTACCTTTTGTGATGAGAATCGAATTACTTGATCAGGGAGGTGACAAATCTTCAATAATTCATTAAACTATAATGACATTACAACATCCTAATTTTTTCCTCCCTGATTTTGTTTAATTTTTTTTCCTGCTGTAGAGCGGGCTCCATGTTTTAGATTCAAGGCTGCTTGTCCAGGTATTTCAAACCAGCTTGTCACCTGGAGAATTGATAGCTGGCATACCCTCGTTTTAGTGCTGCTAAATGGTTTTTCTTCTCAACAGGATAATTATATTGATCGTGGCTTAGAACTTCAGAAATTGGATTGTGGTTGTGTAAAATGTGTTTCAAAACTCTAATATAAACTATATTATATAGAAAAAAACCTCCTAGCAAAAGCAGACTACCACCATTGTTGTATCTAACACTCCCAATTTGATACAAATTGGGATATTTTTGACCCAGTGTCTGCTTAAAAAGAGAGAAGCTGCCACTGCCTCTCAGTCCCTTGCCCTCTCTTTAACAACAGGGCTAATGCGAAACTTGCTGTATCGAACCTTGGGGAAATCCAGCTCTCAGCAAGTGCCCCTGGATACTTACTTGAAATGTTGCGTTTCATACCTGACAAATGTTCTATGAGGATTTTACCTTTAAGATAATTGATTTTTGAGTTTTGAGTGACTGCTTGAGAGCAGTCTTCTGTGATAGCTGGGTATGAAGGGGTGTGTAAGGGAGCAGTGCTGCATTGGACAGGCAGCTGTGTGGACGACTTGAGTGGTGCTCATACCTGCAGGTTGAAGGCAGGGTGTGAGGTGTTGGCCTGGAATCTACTGGCCTTGGGCGATCTCGACAGCTGAGGCTGCAGAAGATCGAGGGTTGAAGCAGGGCCATCCTGGGCTTGATGCAGTGCCAGCTGCGGGGTGGTTGGCAGAGCTGGCAGAAAAGAGAAATCTTGAAACTTGGAGGTTGAATGTGGTCTCTGGCTGATCAGGAGCAAAAAGATGTCTAGATTTATGACACCATCCTTTTCTTTTGAAAAAATCCTGAAGAGTGTTAAAGGCAAAATCTTAAGATGTCAGATGTTACTGTACAAACCAGCCAGGAGCAGAGTGCTTTAGCAGGGAAGTGGAAACTTTACTTCTAGTGTGCATAATCACTTAAGCACACTGTCAGCTTTTTTTTTTTTTTGAAATGAATAATACTGGTTTTACTTTGAGACGCTGAATACCCGATTACCGCTTTGTCTCTTGTTTTTCAGGCTGGACGCAAAGAAAGAAGTGATGCACTGAACTCTGCGATTGATAAAATGACCAAAAAGACCAGAGACTTGCGTAGACAGGTAATGAATATATGAAGTTGATACTTGTTGAGACAAATGAATGCATTTCTGCGTGTTTGCGTTCTTGGAAATATTTTATCTGTTGGTTTGTTTCTAGTGAGCAGTGGGCTTACCTGCTTGTATTTAGTGAATTAAAAGCTAGAAGCTTCCAGTGCCTGGTTTGCAGGGAAGCATGGGGTGGAAGTATAATCCCTGTTTAACTATATAATAAAGATGTTGGATTCTTAATCGTCCTTGTGGCAAGAGAGATTTTAAAAAGAAACCCTTCCATTTTATGGTTTTTGAACATAATCGGGTATATTTTATAATTCTGATGGTATTCATCTCAGAGAGCCTATTTTCTTTGAGAACTGTATTTATGTAACATCAGTCTTTTGTCCATTTAGTTTTTAGAGCAATGTATTCCCCTTTTCAAGTAAATGTGAATATGGATCAAGTTTGTTGAAAAATGTTTTTATTCTAGCAGAAAAATGAAAAAGTTAAATCAGTATGTTGTTTAAGCAGCTGAGGGAAAGCAGCAAATTTACTCAGACAAAACCAATATGAGCTGCTAAATCAATATTTGTGGCCAAACTGGTGACTTGCACTTATATAACTAATCCAATTTTTTAAGGAGATTCAATTTAAATTGAAGCAAAAAGTGTATAGACGAGACTTACTGCAGGGAAAGCCTTGGTCACACAAAGGAAAAAGGATCAACGACAAAAGTACTTTAAGCTTTACGTATTAATACAGTAAAAGGAAAACAGCAGTGGAACACTACTGAAAAATAACTCATTCTTTTATTTTATTTTAGCTCCGCAAAGCTGTTATGGACCATGTATCAGACTCTTTTCTGGAAACAAATGTTCCGCTTTTAGTATTGATTGAAGCTGCCAAGAATGGGAATGAAAAAGAAGTTAAAGAGTATGCCCAGGTTTTCCGTGAACATGCCAACAAATTGATTGAGGTAAGATGGTACACATTAAAATTCAATTATCACTAGTTAAATTAAGGCAAGGCTCAGCAAAACACATTTTTCAGTTCTGTTGAAACAAACAGCAAATTCTGTAATAAATTTGCTTTTTAAATTTTAATGAATTTAAATTCAATTTAATATTTAAATAATTAAAAATGTAAGCTTATAAAAAAGCAGCATCTGCTGTTACATAGCCCATGTAGTTTTAGATATTATACAATGTGAGTATATTATGCTGTTACCTTTACTTGATTTGTTAATCAGAGATGGTGAAACAGAGTAAGGAGACTGTGGTGAGACTGTCCTGGTGTACAATTTGACCTGTTGCTTGAAGGCTGGAGGTTTTTTCTTTTCAGTAAAATACCACTGAATATAACAGGCCCTTTTATGTGAAGACTTTTAGAATGAAAACCTGCTTGTGTGTGCGTAAAGAGCAAACAACGGACAAACAAAAAAACTTGCAATAACAATAAAACTGATCCCTGCCACCTTTTTCTGATAAAAATCCAAAGACTCTCAAACTGGTGTTATTGAAGACTAAAGCTAATCTGTGGTTAGATCAGCTTAAATGCGACAGACCTGTCTTAACTGAAATACATTAAAGGTCATTAGTCTACTGTTAAAGGTAACAGTTTTCTGACAGGTAGTGCATTTACAAAGAGCGACATTAGTTCCTACCCTGTATTCATGGATGTATCTCGGTAGCCTTGTCCTCTTCCCGTTGTTTTCACGTAAGAGATTTGTGCCTGTTGATGCTAAATGGCAAGGATCAAACATCTATAGGCATTGTTGAAGAAACATGTCACTAGGAGTAAACTTCAAAGGCTCGTCCTGTGCACTTTGGTGTGCTTTGAGGCATCAGCTGGCTCGTGTGCTTGACCTCAGCAGCTACCTGGGAACAGTCGGGTACTGGGTCGGGCATTTTTGCTCTCTTAGTATCACTGCATTTGATAATTGAGTCCACGTGTCCCCCAGGCTCATCAGGAATGCTTTCACACAACTTGACAGACTTTAAGTTACTCAAGAATAAGACTTACTGAATCTCAGTAGAAGTAGTTTCTAACTCTTGCTTAATATATTTTTCCCACTTTTTTTTAAAGCCTTAGGAACTCTGAATGAGGGGAGCAACTCCCCCATAGTCTGGGGTGCATCAGGCTAATCCAGCTCTTCAGAGTTGCTGTGTAAGCAATGAAAACTCTTTAATTCTTTGAAGGTGTCTGTTCTTCACTTTTGGCCTGCTGCATTTCAGTGTAAAATGCCATCTTCATAGAGTTTCAAAGTTACTCTAAATTTTAAATAACTAATGTTGTTTGACAAAACAGCGGGCAGAAGGCAGTGCTGCTGTGCCCTGCCTTGGCAGCAGGATAGAGCTGTTCCACGTGCAGTGGTGGGAGCACCTCGAAGCGAGTTTTGTCTGAAGCCTCCCTTCTTCATGTCGCAAGCCTAATTTATCTAGAAAATTATTTTTCGGGCTTGTTTACAGGAGAAGTTGACTGGCTTAACAGTAGCAATGCCTATTCTGCCATAGTTCTGCCACCTCTTCAGTGGATGCGTGGTGTCCATACACGGAGTTTATCGGCGTAATTACAAAGGAGTAATTGCGCTGCTCCATCCGCGAGCTTCTCTCCTGCCTTTACTAGGTGAGCCCTTACTCCCTGCTCCCTCAGAACACATGTGCTGTCTGAAAAGCAATGGGTGGCTGTCCTCACCGGCATGTAAGAGTGGTTTTTACTGACCTGACCTTGTGTGCAAAATGCCAAGCTGCGAATGAGTTTTACAGAACCTCTATTCAGCCAAACAGTCTTTTTCAAGAAAGACTATTCCCCTGAAAATATGCATTCAGCAATATTTCTGACTGGCATCAGAGGGTTCTGCTAAAATGATATGCTGCTGCAACAACTTTTTGAAGGCTTGCTTATTGCTTTTGCTGTCTAAAATGTAACTGTAGCTATAGAGTAGCATGATCTAGATGGCTTATAAACCTCTTCCATGAATGTGGATGGATTAATACATACGCTTAGCTTTGACAGAAGGGGAATAGTACTCCTGCAGATCCCTTGTCTTGAGGGGATAGAGAGCCACTGCGGAGTTCTATGCTATGTCAAATTTACAGGGAAGGAAGACAGATTGGGGTGGGTTGCACCTACAATGTCTCAGTGTGCCTTTGCCAGAATGGAGAAGTATGTTTGCAAGTTCCCATATGATTCTGCTCTTGGGCAGAAAGCCTGACTGCAGGTATCCAGAGAAACAATAAGATTGTGTAAGAGTAGAACAGAAGATGTACCACTTGGTGAGATGAGAAGTGATTGCTTCCACCTGTTTTCAGTGGAAGATAAGTGTGCTGGGGAGGTTATCGTAACTACCCTTAGAAATGCGGCTGAGTGACTCAAGACATCAAATATGACAAAACAGCTGCAGTGCAGAATGACGCTGTGTTGTGTATCATGCTGTGACTGACAGGCCTCTGTGGTTTAGCTGTAGAAGAGAACGTGTCCTTTCCTTTAATGCTAAGGGATGGGAAGAAACGCACGCAAGAGACCTACACTGCACTAGGTGACTGGGAAGATCCCCATCTGAATTAGGGAGAGGTTTTACATCTTGGATTTTAGCACCCCTCTGTCCTGTGACCTGACGGAGTCGGTGCTGCTCTCCTGCCGAACAAGCCTCTAGAGGGGACTGTGAGAGAGATAGATACAGAAATAATCTTTTATTCTTTTGGACACTAAGCTGTTGCAGGTGTTGACTAGATGGGAGGAGTGGCAGTGCTAGTTCTGCCCTGGATTAGCATAGGGAGTTCTTGCTCCTGCAGTGCAGAGGTGTTTGTGGGCCCTCCAAGTAACTGTAAGAGATGCAAGCACGTGATTTGGGTAATTTTATTTTGAAACGTTCCCTTCCTGACAGCACAACACTGTGTCTGCTTTGTGGTTCCTAAAGTCCAGGCAGCCAATTTGACCAAAAGTTGCAATAACCACAAAAGTCTGATTTGCCTGCTGGGTCTGTATTTTCTAGAGAAACCATACCAAAGCCCTGCCCCAAAGGGCTTCCATCTGCTTTGTTTCTCATGTAGTAAAATACTAACCCCCTTATCCTGCTTTTGAAAACTGAGTAATGGTAAAATAGTAAAATGAGACTTGTCTTACTTGAATAATAGGTTTCAAAGAGAGCTTTCAAAATTGCTCTGTACTAACAATCAGTTAACTAGCTAGCACTCTGCCTGAATTTTGTTGGAGGAGTTTAATTCAGGAGATGAGAAGCCAATTTAAATGCAGCACACAAGAATAACAGAAGAGACAGTATTTCGGGAACTAGTGTAAGAAAAAGTTAAATTCACTTGTGAACTATGAAAGTCTTCCAGATTTACGGATTGTAAAGTACTTGCGTGCCAATAGTATTTTACGATGCTGGGTAAAGTAGCCTTGACTCTCTGACCTGTAACTTTGCTCTTGAGGAAAGACAGACAGCTTGGCATTGACATCCTTAGATTTAATGTTCCTCCCTAGAAGAAACTAGGCTGTCCTGCAACTTGGTGCTCATTTTTAGTGATGCCACTTAGCACCACACTGACTTTTTGTTCATCCCAGTCTTTGAAGCATGCTTGTGTGCAAGTTGCCTTTGTACTGCTCCTGGTAGTCACTGCAGTGACACTTCTGGCTATTCTCTGAAAAGTGAAAAAGCCATAAATGTTAAGAAGAAACTTTTGCTACATTGTTGAATGCTTTAGAAAAAAAAAAAAATTGGGTTGTCAATTTGTCACCGTTTTATACTGTGTAGTTTTAATGGAAAAGTTTTTCAGACCTTAAGAAATTAGATAATTAAAAGGTAGGCAAGGACAGAGACCTACCTTCAGTAGCTCTTTACTGGCTGAAGAGTATTTTGGAAAGGGAGAGTTTGTAATTCCTTAAACCCAGCAAATAATCCTATCTTATTCTGAAACCCCATACCCCTGCATCAAATGTTTTTTTCAACTTAGATTTTATTTTGAAGTCTCTTTCTCAGAGAGACTTTGGTAAGACCACAGAGGCAAAAGCTCTCAATGATGTTTCATAAGCATCAATTTTTTTCTAATTGCTTTAATTTATCTGAAAAGACTGCTCTGTGCCTTTTTTTAATGCACTGGGTTGTATCTTGCATATGGAGAGATGATTTTCTCATCTTCAGTGAAAACCCATGAACAGATGCAGACTGCAAATTTATTTGCTTGGAAGGAATCACATTTGGGCACTTAGAACTCCAGAAGCTATCTGTAGCCTCTCACACTGACATTTTCCCCTTCTGTTGCCCTAACTGTCTGGCCTGATGTCCTAGAGTAATTCTTCAGACCTCAGTCTAAAAATACCACTCTCCGAAAGCCCAAAGCCTTGCACACTTGCACTGTTTTTATTGCGATTTATCCTGATTTGCCCATACTTACAGCCTGTATATTCTTCAGGGAGTCTTAACAGCTGCAGTTTTTTTTTTTACATGTGAATGGCTTTTAAAAAATCTGAAGTGGGTAAACATAACTTGGGTTTAAAATAATAGCTAGCTTTTGAACTGCAGACACAGCAAAGGTTTTGAAAAACTGAGGCATGCCTATCCTCTGTTTATGAGAGAGAACTTACCTGGGCATAGCTAGTTACCTTTGTGATAAAGGTGTGCACTTAGTGTTTGTGCATCTTATACAGCTATTAAAAACGAAGCATGGAATGGGAGTATCCAGCAGATCTAGAAATAAATCTGGTCTCGCAATATTATCCCTTGTGTCTGTTTCCTGATTTCCAGAGTATATACAAAGTTTAAAACTAGCATCTTTGGAGGTGGGAGTGGACTGGCTTTGCTCGTTCTTTAAATATTCTTTCTTTATGCTTGCCATCAAAGGTATGTATTGGTACTGAGATGATGTATCTTGGATGAAAAGTGCATAGCACTTGACACCCAAATCAAATATTGATTTGGAATGTTTTTCTGAACTTTGGATGTATTAATCTCTTGAAACCTGGCATTTTCCAGGC